TTGTCCCAAGCCAGAAGCCCCTACTGGGGCTTCTTGCTGGGAGGGTGGGGCCAGGCGGGCCCTGCTGTTGTGGGAGCCCATCGGGCTTCCCTTGGGTTCTAGTGCCCTTGGTTCCTGTCATTTCTGACAGGAACCAAAGGCAGATTAATATTAATTTTCTAAATTTTTTAGGGGCCCCATGGGCCAGATAGAATGGCCTTGTGGGCCGGATCCGGCCTGTGGGTCATATTTTACCACCCCCACTGGTTTAGACAGATTGATATTTTCTTGAGCAAGGGCTAGACTAGGTCCCTTTCAGCCCTATTTTTCTATAAATGTGTACTTTATTATGTTTATGAGTAAGATGAAACTATGTAATGTAGTGAATTGATTAATGTGGTTTTGGAACTTCCTTCTAGTCGCTGTGGGGGAAATCAGAATGGAATGCCATTCCGAACGGAGGACACGTTTGCCAGCACCATGTCCTAATACAAGTAACATTAGTCTATGGAATATCCTGAGAAACAACATTGGAAAGGACCTCTCCAAAGTGGCCATGCCTGTTGAATTAAATGAGCCACTTAACACTCTTCAACGTCTCTGTGAAGAACTGGAATACAGTGAACTATTAGATAAAGCAGCACATACTCCAGATGCATTTGAAAGGATGGTAAACATTATTTTCTTCAAATACTGAACAACATTAGATTTAATTAATATATTGTGTGATGCAAAAATACAGTCTGTCCAAGAGATGAGAGCACTTATCCAGTTCTTTCTTTGTGCCCCTATCCTAAAGGGGTAGGGCTCCAAAAATTTAATATATCAAGTAATAATTTAATATATTATATACAATAGGTGCATTATGTATACTCTCACACGTGCACTTATTACTACTGTTTGCAATCTTTGCACATAGGACATAATTTTCATTGTCTTAATTGGAAGCAGTTATTCTCTGATGTCTGATTTTTTTCCTGCAGCTTTAGACAAGGGAAAAGCTTTGATCTGTTCTGCAATATTTTTTCCCTGCTGACTTTTTTAAAATCTGAATCTTT